CACCCCTCCCGCCCTCCGCGCATGCGCGCTGCCAGCCAGCACTCGGTTGCCGTGGCAACGCTGTAGGCCGCCTCCAAGTATGAACGGCCATTCTGTCCTGGGGCTGACAAGGCCGCACGCTGCAGGGCGAGCGAGGGGGAAACGGGGCGGGACCTCCCCCAGGAGGCAGAATTCACTGCATTTTTCGATAGAAAGGCACGTTTCCGAGCGTCCCGTGCAAATCGCACAACGAGGGGAAGGAAAGGAATCCAAGAGCCAAGCACACCCTCTGCTTCTAAAAACAGGCAGCAGCAATAAAGGGAAATTCTGTACAGCGTTTCGATGACATGAAGAAACTGGCGAACTTTGTGGAAAAGAAGCCACTCAAACGCAGAAAATCATTCTACCATAACTATTAGATGTCCACCCCCATCATGGCTGATTCACGACCTGAAATACCGGTGTTAAAAACTAACACTTACAAAGGCAAATCCTGTACCCCTCCTAAACAGTGTCCTAGGCACCAAAGAGCTTTCACAGGCACTGTGCATTAGCTTACACTTTCAGCCTACTGCTTTTCCTTCAGCAGTTTGTCTTTTTTTTTTTTTTAAATCGAACTACTGTTTTCAGAAACAAGTTATGTTTTATACAACCTATACATGAAGTACAAAAGAAAATACAAAGTTACTTTTATTTAGAGTTAGATTACTACCACCAGGCTCAACACCGTATTTTGCTTATGTCTCTCTCCTCCTGAGCCAGATTGTTTCCATCACTCTTCTCTGCCTTGAATTCTTAAATTCTAAGATTTGACTCTAATTTCTGCGCTGGATAACAGGAGGCAATTGCCACTGCTCAAACCCCAATAAAAACAACTACAGCAAAAGAAAGATGAACAGGTCTGGAAAGATGACGACGTGATTATGCTACATCTGAGAGTACAATATTGGCAAGTGCAGGATCTTCAGGCAGGCAAGTTATTGAACTACCTTTGAAGAACTACTAACATTGCCCAGACTTACCACTACTTCTTCAGTTTTCTCCTCCTTTTTTAATTCCTCTTCATCAGTTCCTGCGGCAGCTCCATCTTCCTCATCACTGCTCGAGGACTCTACGATTTCACTTATATCCATTTTCCAGTTCCGAGGAACAACCTTTGTGCTGAGAAACGTGCTTGCCTCCTGTAGCCCTACAGAAGAAAGGGCCCTGGTTTTACCTCATCCACAGTATTCTCAGTCACAAAGTATTTTTAATTTCCTTTTCAGATTCTTGTAAATCACAATTACTACTTAAATTAAAATTGGAATTAAGTAATAAAATAGTTAATTCAGCTTTAAACACTCCAGTTTACAAACTTTACATTTTGGGAGTGTCAAATTTTAAAAGTCAAGTATCAGCAACTCACAGAGTTTAGAGTTCAGAACATACATCCCACACACAGCATCCAGTTGTTTTCTAGGCACAGATCCCCATGAACGCTGTTATGCTTTACACCTAAGTATATGAATGGTACAAAGATAGGCATCCTATACTCCTATAAGATCGTATACATTCTATACTCCTCCACATCTATTCCATCCGACTGTAAATCACTGTGTTTCCTAAGAGAGAAATACTGTAATAAAGTTACTAAAAAAAGTAAACCCAGCACAGTTAGATCAACTACCAGGACTTACTTTGTTCTTTTCAAAATACCTTTGTGTCTTAAAGTTTAGATTGCACAAAACCACAAGTATTTTCTTGAAGAGCACTGCCAAAGAGATGTTACATTAATGTTTGGAACAGAAGAAAAATACAGTAGTGAATGAGGGAGTAATGGGCCAGGGAGAAGTCACACTCGTACAACAGGAATACCTCGAATTCTTTTCCTTGAAGATGTGCTCCAATGGGGGAAAAAAACAAAGCAAAACAGACCCAGATAACCCCAAAATATGCCTGCCAGTCATAATAAAAGACTTTAATAAAGATGAATCAGGAGAATACCCAAAATAGGGACATACAACAATGACCAACTCACAGCGTTGCTTGAGGAGACAAGGCAACAGGTGTTAATAGCTGCTGATAAAAGTAACTTCCAGGTATGTCTAAAATCATTTTGTGAAACCGTTAGTACCTTTGGTTCCACAATAGCAACAAATGTCACAGCCCAATTACGATTACGCTCTGCACAGAAAAAAAAAATATCCCTTTCTTCTGTTTATCTTAAACCTCACATCCTATGTTTCTTTGTTTTAAAGTTCTTGTACTATGAAACAGTTATTAAGAAGAAAGTAGAAATCATTAAAACCACCTCTAGCTCTCATTTTTAAGTATCATGTTAAATCTTTACTTGTTAACAAGCTGTTCCAGACCTTTACTCAAACCAAAGGACCTATTACTGAGTGGGAATTTTTGTTGCTCGTTGGGGTTTTTCCTTTATTATTAATAAATACATTTTAAATATTTCTCCTTAATAAATTTCATGTTTTGAGGTCTGACTAAAAACAAGACTAAAAGTTTAAGAATTATTTACATTAAAGCTCACTAAAAACAAGGATTATTGTAGTCACATCATTCATCCATCCATAAATCAAGTTCTATAACTATACTTCAAAAATCAAATATTAATTATGCACAGGCTGTTCTAATAAAGTTTACACTTTGTTGTCTGGATATTTTTAATATAAAGTCTAAGTGTTTTGAGCAGTAGTGCAAAACTTTCATCTTAGCAGATGTAACTGTATATTCCATTGTTCAATGACATTTCAAATATACTATCTTAAAAATATTTTATATACTTTCCACAAATTTGGAGTGGATCAAAAGAAGGAAATAAAAACCAAATAAACAAGACTTCTACTACGTGCTATTTTAATTATAAGGCAGCTACATCCAAAGTTTCTCTCATTTATCAGATTTAAAATTAATTGCTCTTCGATATTTTGCAAACATGAGAAATCAACAGGTCATCGTTTATATGCAAAAGTTAAAAGTACTACTTCATGAGATTTCCTTTGTTGAACTCTTAGAATTTATTCTAATTTACCTTTTTTAGGAGAGGACTCAGATTTTGGTAAGTTTTGAACATCTAGTTCTTTAATGTCTTTTCTTGCTACGGAGTAACTGAAAAAGAGTAAGGTTCTGTTATTATTTGCAAATCACAGTAAAGTAAGCATTTGCCTTAGAAGAACAGTGATGTCTAAAATTGGCAAGATTTATCATTCAGTTTCAAAGTCTTTTCTAAACAGTGAATACGTAAGACATTTGTTATTGTAGGTCCTAAAACAAAATTCAAATGCAGAGTAAGTTTCCAGTCTTTCTTTGAAACTCACACACTAAAAGAGCCCTTGTAATTGAATAATTAAGAGAAGTTCATAAAGTTTATTTTAAATGCTTAACCTGCACAAATTTGCAAATGTAAAATACTCCACATAGGCAAAAAAAAATAATTAAAATCTAAATAATTAAAATATTGATGTGAATACATTCCCATCAATCACAAGCTGCTACCCAAATAGCATTCTAGCTAAGATGAAAGAAACATTTATGCATTTCTACTAGCACAGAACAACAGTAAAGCCAAATTCAAACAACTGCATTGATAAACAGTTCATTTTTATTTTTGAATTACAAAAGTGTTCTCATAGCAAAATATATGGAAGCCGCTATGTTCTAAAGTTATAGTCAACATTCAGTTACTGAATTACTACAACAGAAATGCTAACCAACCTGCAAGGAAAGCCTTACAAGTGAGTTATAACAATAAGATTTTTTTTCTTCTTTCATTATTTCAGAAAAACTGGAGTAAAACCTCAGGAATTGGAGGCCGTCACTTTCTGACGTTAAAGCCATAATACTATGAGGGGAAAAAAAAGTAAAACAACAAGTCTGCATGCTTTTCCAGTAACATCCTACCGTTAGTATATAAAGAACCACTTATCTAGAAGGCTGATGATACATGTCTACATTAACAGGCCAAACTGAATTAAGTCTTCAGTTATTTAAATATGTTTCAGTAATCAAGTACTCACACCCTACTTAAAATCAGGGCTATTAAAAAAATCACGAACTGTTCACTTTGAAAGAGGGAAAGAGGTGTGATAGCTGGCCTTTGGCAAGCAAGTTTTTAGTTACAGTACATTAAGACAGACGCACTAGAAGTAAGGATGACTAGAAATAAAGGGAACCAGCTTTAAAAAACCAGGCTTTATACTCTTGAATATATTATTCCTTAAGTAGGACAGACATCTCTCTCACTCTCCTCCCTCCTCCCCATTTTGGGAGCGATGTGTGTGTGGACTAAAAGGACCAATCTTTCTTTTTGCAAGAATCTTGGTTCAGATTCTGTAAAAATGTGAAAGTTACTTCACATTCACTTTTTTTAATTAAATAAAGAAAAGAAAAAAGTAAATTAAACATTTTCAGACTTTGCTACTTAAACAGCCACGGACATCTGGGTACTGGAGGTAATGAGTCAGATATCCGAACTACGACGACGACACGCATAAAGGCATTATAATTAAGAAATTAAGGGAAGTAATTACAACCGAAACTCACACTTCAAAGAACAGGAGTCATCTAAAGTGTTAACACTTGAGTTTTTTTGAAGTTGTTGATTTTTTTAATAAAGAAACACCAGAAACTTTAGTAATCCAATAAACTCTTACCAGAACACACAATGTAAAGGTTGGCAAGTAAGCACAGCAGCAGTTCATTTGAAATGGATTAAGAATGACAAATGTGTACAACCAACTTTACACAAAATTGTACCCTGACCTTATGGAAGAAATACTGCCTTCAGAAGCAGTATCTAATTAGGTTTGCATTTTTCTCCCATATACATCTAATGAAAGTAAGCTATTACTTACAATTTGGAATCTGCAAAGGATCGAACTAAACACTGGTCCTTTTTCACTGTGACGTCATCATTACAGCTGGGAGATACAACCTGAAGTTTCAAATAAAACACTTTTTTAAAGCAAATTAAAAAAAAAAAAAAAAAAGCTGTTCCTGAAAGGAAAGAAAGATAGACAAGATGGACAGCAGGAAAACTGCTGTCTTCCTGTTTCTTCTATGGTAATTTCCATTTCTGAGAAAAGAAACCTACTCCCATTTGTATTACTAAGGCCAGCAGTTCACCTCAAACTATGAACTTTACTTATTATGTACAAGCCAGAAGAGTTTGCAGTCTCACTTGTAAACTCAAACTCATCTACTGGGTGACATCATGGGTTCCTGTTTATTCATTCTCCTTTTTTTCCTTTCTTTTTCATACAAAACCTGTTTAAAGCATCTGTTTAAAAAGTCACAGACCCACTTATTTGACACCAGCTTTCAAACTGAGAGGAAAGTAGTAGGGTTTTTTTTTTGAGGTGTGTATAAGACGGTGTGGAACCCAGTGTATCCTTCCACAGCAGTATCATCTCTAAGTCTAAAAAGGTAATAAAAATGCACTTGCAGTATTTGTATTAGCACAAACAGAACAAGTTTCCATTTTGTTCTAGACCATATACACATACAAAGTGTCAAACGCGGATGGACTTCTGTGTCTACAAGGACACAGTGGGAGCTGTGCCACCCCAGTCAGAAGTTTTACCCCAAAAATCAAGATAAGACATTCCTGTTTTTCAGCAGAGAACAGTACAGGTACATGGCCTCCAGTAACTTAATCCCCTAGCTGGAAACATCGTAAATTAAAATCCGTCATTAGTAAAGGGATATACAACAATCAGAGCACATACAACAATGCCACAATTCACATTTTAAACTGAGATATATACAGCTGGGTAAGCCAGTGCCAACTATTCACCCTACATTACACTATAACGTTCTTTCAAGGAAGAGAAGACAACTAGCCCGTGTAGTTAGTTGCCTCTTGATCCTGGATTCACCCAGGGAAATAAAATCATAAACTAAGTCAGGACATTCTAACAGCTGAGCTAACCCTGAAGACTCAAAATAAACAACTTTAGAATATACAATTAGTACATAAAACATGCAAAGATTAGTGAACCAAACCTGCCTAATGATCCACATAAAAAAAACACAAGCAAAAACTACACACACACACAAAAAAAAAAACCCCACAAACCCCAAAACAGCTCTGATGGATGACAGAAGATGAGTATTGAGCTTGTCTGACAATACCAGAAAGCTTACTAAAGAAACCAACTTTTAACATGCATCTGTAAATTTTTCTGTGCGTATGATGAAACTGCAAGTGTTTTCCTTTACAGTACAAGTCCACTTGTACTTGAATTTATTTAACACATACTTTTTATCAGCTATGGCAATGAACAGCTGTATCCTATATTGACAGTAAAATAAAAACAATAACCAACATCTACTGCTACAGTAACTGGCCATTTATGTAATGAAAGCATGAAATGAACTAGTATTTCATAAAATTGAAAGTTGAAGGAAAAAGGTAATCATTAAATACAAAAAGAGAAAAATTGCACTGCAATTAAAACTCCTCTTAAATTGCCTGGGAGTGCAATTCCTAATGTATCTTATTTTTAGAAGAAAAATATCATACCAATCATTTTATGGGCAGTTTTTAAAGACTCAAGAGGTTATACATAAATGTTAATCTCTGCTTTCATACTCTTCACAGATACTGTAGAAAATCTGTATTTTTAGCAATTACGGGCAGCAGAGCATAACCTGAATACATTCACAACTGCTGGAAAAGTTTTGAAGTGTGCAAACCACTCTACCCAGGAAAACCACTACATGAACACTGAAGCAAGTCAGATGACACTCTTGTCTGAAAAGACAGTAATAGTATGACACTAGAGATGTCAACATCCTAAGCAACTTACCAAAGCTGGATACCAATCGGCCTTCTCAGAACTACAAGTCACACTCACAACTTTGCCAAGCAATTCATCATTGAGACGCCTTTTATCTTCATCCTCTTCTTCACTACTTTCTTCTTCCTTTTCATCTTCAGTACTAAATTATTAAAACACACAGTATTTTAAAGTTTTTGTCTGAAGTTAATATTTGAAAGCAAATACAGCTTACAACCAGATCTTTCTGTTCTGCACAGCTTCAAAAACAAAACGAGAATTTTAAAAGTTGAAATTGCTTGAAATACACTTAAATATTAAGTGCACTTACTTAGTAAGAGGAATTTTGTAGAAATTCTTTCCAAGTAGTAGTTATTTTACAACAGCATCATGTTGGAATTGGAGGCATGAATCAGGATTTGATTGTGCACAGACATGAAACAAAGAGAAACGGTCTCTACCCCAGAAATTTAAAAACACTTTTTTTCCTATTTTGTCCAGTATAAAGGTTGAAAATCCTATATTTTCTGACATGAGTTCCTATTACATGAAAGAAGCACAAACATACTTCAGGCTACTACAAGCAAAACTCCATCAATTGCATAATGCTGCTAACATACAAACATGTCTGCATGAGCTGTGCATCCAACTGACATGATAGAGCATTCAGACCATTCAGTGGCATTACTTCAGTTTTAGCAAAGCACACTACAGGAAAGCAACAGAGCACTAGCAAAACTCACACAGGAAGAGAAGATCTTCTTCCTCTATTAGATTTTTTCCCAATAACTGGAGTTCCAAAGTGCTCTGGATTGGTTAGTGGCAGTTGATCAAGTGTCTACATGGATAAAGCGGAAACAAAATCAGTTTGCAATTCTTCTTATTAAAAAAAAAAAAAAAAAAGAATAATAAATTAACCACTTTGTTTCTACCGCATGTCCATCATCGTCTTACCTCACTTTCTGCAAAGTGCCTTTCTCCCTTCAAGCATAATGAAGTTCGTCTCAAGGTCCTCTCATCACCATCATCAAAAACTAGTATGAAGCCATGGAAACAAATTGGCACAAGATGATCAGATCTCTTTCCCAAGCTGACGAAACAAGTCTACTATTCAACTCACAATCTAGAATATTCTCTTAAATGTGACTTTTGAGACCTCCACTTAATTCTTTAGTTCACAAGCAAAATTAAGGGTGGTATTCAAGATTGCGTTTCAGAACAGGTAACATTTTCAGACAGAGATTCAAGCCAGTATAAAGTTAGGATTTTGGGTGCAATAGTCTCAGTCTAATTTAGACATCCTTCTCAATACATTGCACGTTTCAAACCATACCTACTGTCTGCATACCAGTTACAATCTTTGAGGTTTGTTGGGTTTTTTACCCTATCCATTTATTCCTTACTTATGTTACCTTTTAATCCTCCCTCTTGCTACAGCAACCCCCCAAAAAGACCACTAAGTGGAAAGAAAAAAAACTTTGTGGTAGTTTTTGCTACACCATCAGTGCTGTGCTACCAACAGACTGGGAGTACTAAACAGGCCCTTTTCAAAGAGCACAGACCAGGTGGCTGCAGTCTGGCATTCCAGTAAGGTAGAAGTTTATTTGTATGAGGTCAAAGTGCAGAGTACTGCTCTATATTTAACCTACTTGAAATGTGCTTTGTCCACTAGTGAACTTTGGTGGGGGAGGTGGGGAAGGAAGAAGTTTCAAGTGTTGTGCATATCAGCATGACAATTTTGACATACTTTTATTAAAAAAAAAATCTCTTAGCATGAATATCAACTATATATTTATTGTTAGCAAAACCAGCGACTGGTTGCAGCAAGAAAAGCACTTTTATTTTTCAAATAACTAAACAGAACAGTCACATTTTCATATCTTAGATTAGAACCACAGACTGCAATAGTAACTATAAAGAAAGGTATGAATAAAAATTTTATTAAGCTTGATAAGATAAGCTTTAACATTCCTCCATCTTCAGAATAGAGATACTGCTGTGGTATGTACCACTACTGAATTATCTTAATGGTTCATATTACAATACTTGCACACACAAAGCAACTTAACTTTTCCGCCGTCCAAAACCCTCATATTTTAAGAATGGCAGATACCTATATGCCTGATTAGCTATACTAGTTAATAATATTTTCAAAACTTTTAAAGTACAGATACCAATATGACCCATCAACCTCAGTATCAGTATGTTGTTCTCAAAATCCTCTAGTCTGGCTTACAACTCACAAAGCCACTGCTGCAACACTTCACACTACCTGGGAAAACAAAGTATGAGCTCTTCCCTTCTGCATTACTAACTCAGCATTGGCACCCATTGATCAGCTCAGTGCAAAGACCAGGGCGCTCAAAAGAATTCTGAAGTTCAGCCTTGTCACAGGTTTATGTTGATAAAAAGATCTATATCCTTGTCACCCCTTTGAACGTAAAGTTTCATTACATACTCCAAACATGCCACTCACCAGCTCTCTGTACACTTCGATAACAGTATTTCAGGGGCATATTTCTAAGCTCTAGGGTGATCTGGCTGGTTGGTTTTGTTTTCTGGTTTTGGGGGGTTTTATTGAGTGTTCTGTGCACCCTACAGTGTGTGCCATTTCTCATCGCTCTAAAGAGACTTAAAAGCAGATTTACCATCATTATCTTTTGCCAAACACATTCAGAACTAAAGTCAAAGTACTAATTTTTACAAATAATCATTTTAGGAAACAAATAGCTGGTGATTTGCAACAGGTAGCTTTACTGAAAGGGGCAAGCAGAACATGATACTTGACAGTGAACAAATAAATCTTAAAAAAGAAAAAAAACAAAAAAAACCCAAAACACAAAACTCACCAACAAAACAGTCTAGTTTATCTCCAAATTTGGAAGCTCTACCTATTTAATTAAAACCACTATAGCAGAGGGGGAAAAAAAAAAAAATAAATCAAGCAAACCATTTTTAAGCCAGTTGACATAGACCATTTTTTCATCTCTAAAAGATAAATCTCATAAATACTGAGTCTTAAGTAAAATACACTACTAAAACACACTAAACTCTACTTAAATTAGGATACATAAGGAAATTATGACAATTACAAACTGCATGAGATATTCTGCCTCCCTCAATTACAACAAACATGCAAGTTATTTTAGAACTTTGAAAGCCACAAAATCAGATATTCTCAACCAATATGAGGCAATTGTAGATAGAAAATATAACTGCAATTGCAGAAGTGTCAATTTCATAAATTTGTATTTCACTTTGAAGGACAAAACAAAACAATGTGGAAGAAAAAATACATAATGCTGGGTAATTAAGCGTTCATTATTACCCCCCAGACTCAGAGACGATGAAAGTGTGAGTATGCTTTCAGAGTGGGCACTCATGTTTTCAGTCCTACTCCCAGTTTCATACATGAAGACAGGTCTACCCCATGCCTCAAAAGCAGCACTACTCCTACAAGCCTTTCCCTGTCATTTCTCTGTTTTCTCCAGGTGAAGGTAGAGAACTGGCCTGCTCTAACAAAAGCTACCTGTGCCTTGCCATACAGGGAAAAAGTGCCAGGCCACTCTGCAATTTCCAGAACTAAACAGGTGGACTACAAAAAAAGAAAACAACCAACCAACCCCAAAGCCCCTTCTGAAACCCCTCTCCTGCTCCTGAAAGGAAAGCCATTCTTTCCAAGAGAATGGAATACTTTCTCTCGTGCAAGAGGCAGTTATCACCCAACTTCAGGAAAGGTCTACAGCAGAAATTCCACAGGTTGTATTCCATAAGAAAAAATTTACTGAACAGTTATCAGTTGTGTTAAATGGGGAAGGAAAACAGGAAGAGAAGGCAGGAAGATACCTCCCCATAAACATGTAATGTAGTCATCAAAGGGTGCATTTACAGTGCCACAATATTTACACCAGAAGAGAAACTTAAAATCCTGTCCTTCCAAAGAAACAAGTATGAAAAAGTAGAAGCCCTTTAACTACTGCCATTGCCTCATCTTGTAGTAGACATGTACTTGTGGGGAAACAGGGTGTGCCAGGTGACTACTTCAGTAAATACTTCTGGAAAGAAAATGATACCTACTAGCCAAGAACCTACATACTACTATTTAAAAGTCAATATAACGAAGAAAGAGAGATAGAAAGAAAAGCAGCATTTCTACTAGCCATAGGCCTTTCGTCCAAATATGCTGTTTAATGATGAACACTGACAGAAGGGGAAAAAAGATGACTAAGCAGCACAACCTGGAGGAAGTGTCTCCGTCATAATGCTTGTTCTAGTCCCAAGAATGGAGTTCAATACGCTCTGTATGGAGCATATTTAATGGTGAAAATAGAACAAGAATTTTAATAGTTTTGCTGTATCCCATCTTGTCAATATCAATAGGAAAGAAACAGAATTGATTTTTTTTTTTTTTTGCTCTGTTTGTGGAAGCCTAAGCTATGACAGAAAAAGCTTCCCAGTGGGTATCAATGCAATACTTCCCCAAAGTCAGAAAAAAAATCTCTGGATTAAAAGTACAGTACCATAAAAATGCATTAAATAGTGCAACTTTCAACTCACTACTGATTAGGAGGTATCTTCCATTCCCTGCCTGTAACAGGCCCTTGTGTGCTTTTAACGAAAATAATACTAACCCTGCCTGCACAAAAATGCCATCTCAACATCGGTTCTCACTTATTTAGGTAACAGATATTAATGAGTCCAAAAATCAAAACCATTTTTAGGAACTGCGAAGAAACTCATCAGAAAATACTGCAGATCAGTTTAACTATAACTTGTTTATAAATACACCAAAGATTAAAAAGAACAAGAAAAATTAAAAAAAAAACAAAACAAGACATAAAAAAGAGAACATAGCAGGACACTAGTAATAACATCCTCGTAATATTTACAGTATTACTTGTACACAGAGCAAGCTAGACACATATAAGTTTATCTAATATTAAGTATATGTATATATAATAATATATAACACAAAACAGGGCAGTCCTGTAAGAAACAAATGAATAAGGAAAACAACCCTCAGGACTGTATTGTCTTGCTAACTTCAAATCCAACAAGTTACGTTACTGTTGCTGCCCAAAGGAGGAGAGATTCTAACACTACACAGCAAGTAAACTTTTTTTTGACCCTCATTCCCCATCCCATTCAGAAACTTTTATATCTACCAAGACAACAAAAGTATGTACCAAGCAGTAAAAACTGCTCCATTGTCACTATGCACACTCAATTATTTTTACCAGCTGCCTGACAAACTAGCTGTTTGTGAACTACCACAGATGCTATGCACGAATATATAGATGTATGTGTGCAAGTTATGTAGATTTTTGGTTTTCAGCTGTGGAAACAACATAGAAAGTAGCAAGAGTCATGCAATACTTGTCGAATAACCTTGTTGACAAGAACTGTACTAACTACCGATTCATCACCATAAGAGGGCTCAAGAGGAAGATACTGAAGCATATTGTGATACTGGAGAGATTGCAGAACTCAATTTCAAAAAACCCAAGAAATAATTTTAAATAAGCTTCAGTTCTGCTAGAAAGTGTGTATGAAATATTCCTGAAAATGCAGAAGTGCAACCTTCGAGGCTACCCACAGAAGACTACCTGTCTCCCTAAAAACAAAACCCTACTGCCTGAAACTGCTTCTTCCGAAATGTCACAGTAATCTTACTACTGTACATATAATGACATTAGAGAAAAAAATTCTACCTCCTTGCTTTC